GGAGGAGGAGTATGGAAGAAGTGAATGTTTTCAGATACTTGGGAGTTGACGTGTCGGCGGATGGATTTATGAAGGATGAGGTTAATCATAGAATTGATGAGGGAAAAAAGGATGAGTGGTGCGTTGAGGTATATGTGGAGTCAAAAAACGTTATCTATGGAGGCAAAGAAGGAAATGTATGAAAGTATAGTAGTACCAACACTCTTATATGGATGTGAAGCTTGGGTGGTAAATGCAGCAGCGAGGAGACGGTTGGAGGCAGTGGAGATGTCCTGTCTAAGGGCAATGTGTGGTGTAAATATTATGCAGAAAATTCAGAGTGTGGAAATTAGGAAAAGGTGTGGAGTTAATAAAAGCATTAGTCAGAGGCAGAAGAGGGGTTGTTGAGGTGGTTTGGTCATTTAGAGAGAATGGATCAAAGTAGAATGACATGGAAAGCATATAAATCTATAGGGGAAGGAAGGCGGGGTAGGGGTCGTCCTCGAAAGGGTTGGAAAGAGGGGGTAAAGGAGATTTTGTGGGCGAGGGGCTTGGACTTCCAGCAAGCATGTGTGAGCGTGTTAGATAGGAGTGAATGGAGACGAATGGTACTTGGGACCTGACGATCTGTTGGAGTGTGAGCAGGGTAATATTTAGTGAAGGGATTCAGGGAAACCGGTTATTTTCATATAGTCGGACTTGAGTCCTGGAAATGGAAAGTACAATGCCTGCACTTTAAAGGAGGGGTTTGGGATATTGGCAGTCTGGAGGGATATGTTGTGTATCTTTATATGTGTATGCTTCTAAACTGTTGTATTCTGAGCACCTCTGCAAAAACAGTGATAATGTGTGAGTGTGGTGAAAGTGTTGAATGATGATAAAAGTACTTTCTTTTTGGGGATTTTCTTTCTTTTTTGGGTCACCCTGCCTCGGTGGGAGACGGCAGACTTGTTGAAAAAAAAAAATATATATATATATATATATATACATACCTGCTCCTCCCACTCATATATTTGTCCAATTTATTTCTAAAGCTACCCAAGGTCCTATCAAAGCTAAAACCTTGGGTAGCTTCACATTCAGGTTGGATAAATACACAAGTGAGAAGGGGTTGGATGGGAGTGGGACTTGCATGCGAGTAAATAGAATTCTCAAAGCTTATTGCTTGGGTAGCATTTATTCTATTAGTGGGTTGGATTTGTGAAGGACCTGAATAGTATGGGCCAAAAGGCCTACTGCTGTGTTCCTTATTTCTTATGTTCTCATAAACAATCATAAAATACGCACCTGAGAACATCTTAAAATATTGTACTGCCTCCACCACTGCCTTGTAATTTTGTACAATTTCTTTCTTCAATTCTTTCGTGTTTCTCAGTTTCTTTACCAAAGGGCTAGTACTACCAAGTTTCTTTGGGCCCATGGTTAATTATGTAGCAGTCACAGTCAATCAATATGCACCAAACACAATGAATTATTGTGAAATGTTTGGAAGAGCACAGAGGCTAATGCTCACTCCAGCATAAATAAAGCCATACTGACTGACGATGCCTCTACCACTCACTGCTTCACCCTCGTATTTTTTATTATTATTATTATTATATTATTATTATTATTATCAGCAGTCATGAATGGGTTGACATTATTTATACTGTAGTTTAATAAATAATGAACAAACAAAACACTCACCACTCATAAGGCAGACGAACTCTGATGACTTGTGATGATTAAAAAAATTAAAATTAAAATTCTTTATTTCTCTATTGATATTACATGCAGTTACTGATGACAGTTGAATGGAGGTGATTATATGGAGTGTAACTGCATGGCATGAGAATAGCGTGTGGATTCTAAGTCTTCACTGCCTCAGGTGAGGCAGTAGGAGTAGTGGCAGCTTCCTTGTGAAGAACATTGTGATGGGCAACTGAGACCGTTTCCTCTTCATATCTACAAACAGAGTTTGGTAGGGAATTATGGTCTTATCAAGGTCGTTCATCAACTTCAAAGCCCTCAACATCGATGGGTCTATGTCGTATATAAATTGTTTGAGCTGCTGTCATTCTCATCACCTGCCCAAGTTTTTCAAGGGTGAGGGCTTAAGGTTGATTGGCTTCAGCAACACTCTCCTCTTCTTCATCCTCATTCTCTGCTTGCACAATCTCCAATAGTTCTTCATCATTTAGGCCCAGTGCATGTTATTCAACCAGTTCTCTCACCTCACCCTCCTGCATGTCCTAACCCTTCACCACCTACTTGCCTTGCTAACTCCACAGTCTTCCTCACAGCTTTGTTAACCTCATCTTGAAGAGCAAATCCAACAAAATCACACACACACTCTGGCCACAAAGCCCTCCAACAACCATTCACCATCTGAGGTTGCAAATCCTTGACACTATCATGCACTATTGAGAGGCAGTCAGTGATGGTGAATTCCTTCCAATATTGAGTGACACTTATATCTGGATCTGCATCCAACATGGTGTGGAGCCTTTGCAATGACCTTCGTGTGTAGTAGGCTTTAAATGTAGCTATCACACCCTGATCAAGAGGTTGTGTTTGGTGGCATGAACACAACCTCAACATCACACATTCCCTCCAGTGATGGTGGGTGACCTGGAGCATTATCAAGAAGCAGGATTTTGTTTGGGAGGCCCTTCTCTTGTAGATATGCCTGTACCTCCGTCAGGAAGCAGTGGTGAAACCAGTCCATACAGATGACGTTGGTGGTCCATGATTTTGGATTGTTCATCCAGAATACTGGAAGGAGATTCTTATTGCATCCTTCAGTGCTATGGGGTTGGGACATTTATATATAAAGCCTGGCTTTATCATGTGCCCAGCAGCATTAGCACATAGCATTAATGTGCATTGGTCTTTTGCAGCCTTGAACCCTGGTGCAATCTTTTCCTCCTTGGCAATGAAAGTCCTGGCAGGCATCTTCTTCCAATACAGGGCTGTTTTATCCATATTCCACACCTGCTCAGGTGTGTATCCCTTCTCATCGATGATTTTTTTCAAAGCACCAGGAAATGCAGCTGCCAAAACATGATCTGCCGAACTTGATTCTCCACTCATCTTCAGGTTGTGCAGGGAGAACCGTCTCTTAAATTTTTCAAACCATCCTTTACTTGCTAGGGAGTCAGGATGGCTAGGTTCTGCACTGGTGCTAGGCTCACCACTAGTCAACATATCATACAAAGTCTTTCCCTTTACACGAATCGAATTGCTGTCTATGGGATTTCCTTTTCTATTTTGGTCTGAAATCCACACAAATAATGCTGATTCAATCTTAGACATTACACTGTCTCTTACTTGTGACACTTGCTTGGCTGAGGGAGGAGTAGTAGATGCTAGTGCCGCCCTTATCTTCGCCTCATTTTTCTTGATGGAGCGCACTGTGCTTTCGTTTACATTGAATAATTTTCCAATGGCAGAACTGCTCAAATTACTTGTCCTACACTTGTCGAGCAATTTCATCTTCTGCTCCAGATTCATGACTTTCTTTGAGCGCTTAGGGGTTGGCTCATCAATGAAATACAGTATCAAGTCTACACTGATAGACTAAATCTGAGAAAGGCACAATGGCAATATGTGTTACCCTCCAGGGAGGTACCTTGATGCCAGTGAGGGAGAGTTTTTGATCCAAAGAACTGCCTTGCTTTCCCTTCAGTAGACTGAACCTTAGTGGCTTCAATTCCCCAGGTGCTATATGACCCTCAGGTTTAGCATTTCCCAGTTAAAGAATAAAAAATACAATACTTGTTATAATTATCTATCAGTGGTTGTGGGAATTACGGCTTGGCCACAGATCAGGCCTCCTACACTGGAAAGGAAATACTGTATTACAGGGCTAAGAAACATATGAAAATAAAGGAAGCACATACTAAATGAAACTACAGGTAGTAAATATATAGAATATATGTTGAAAAAAATGGTGAATAAGTCAAAGTGGGGAAACATATCACTGAAAATATACATGTAACAAGATGTCATAAATTGGATCATACTGTCCAGTATAGGTTTTACGGATGGTGTATAGAGTTTAATTTTTATTATGTACAGCTTATTATTATTATAATATTCAGAAATGAGTAATAAATCCATATGGGTCATTTACTGCTGTGATGTGTAAGGGTTAGTGACAGGGAAGGGGGGGAATAGCTCAAAGAATAAATGAAAAGAAACCATGTACCACCTTGAACCACGCTCACCATTACTACGACAGGCAGTGCTGTTGGTCCCTGGAGACCACTACCTCATATACAACCAGGATAGCACCACCAGAATTGACTGAGAAAGGCTTAGCAAAACCACCTGTTTGGACAAAGGCACTAAAACTTTGCAATTGTCTTATAGTTAATAATGGCAGCAGGTGAACTGGCACAAATACTAGTAGTCATACACCTTCAACTGGCATTCCTAGATCCACAGACAACCTCCAGTAACACTCCTGCCATCACAGGCCCTGCCAGATATCCACCAGAGGGTCACATGACAATCCCTAGGATGATTAAATTTTATCATGTGGAGTGACCCAATCACACCACTTCCAAAAGAAATTATATTAGAACAGGGCACAAGAGTGATTCCTTTTCCTTTTGTCTAGTACCTTGATTTCACAAAAGGAAAAATATCCTCCTTGATGAGGCCAAAAGGAAAGGGAGGGTAAAGAGAGGATATTTATGAGTCATCTGATGGAGGGAAAAGGCCCCATTCCCTGAATTTTAAAGCCCCTTAGCCAAAGCAAGTGACTCCTTGAAAGGGTAAGTAGAGCAGAAATACCTCTGAGAAAATGTAGATTAAAATGATGAGGGATAAACCCTCACCGGGAAAATAATCTTAGCTTGTGCAGTGAATAACAGTACAAATTATCTAGCAAAATTAAAAGCATTTTGCTAGAGTTAGTTAAGTTTTATAGAGTCCTGTGCACTTAATCCACCAAAGTACAGATGGTACTGTAGAATACTTTTATGAGAAAACACCTAGATTAAGAAACTTACAAATGCATACTCGTAAATATTTACCTGGCAAGATGCTTTATCCCAGACACGAATGGTTTTGTCTTCAGCACAGCTGACCATCTGTTTCCCATCATTCATGAAAAGTACATGCTTTAGGCCTCCAGTATGACCAGCAAAAACCTGAGGCTCTGTAAAAGTTATCAGTGACTAGTTAAAAACAACAAAAAAATTAACTAGCTACTGTATATGGTACTAAATATTTTTGTAAAGGCATAAAAAAAAAAAATACAAAACTATGATTCTTTACAATGCTAACTTTACAATCAAGATTAAATGTCATATAAATAAAATGAACTACAGGTTTCCCTCACTTTATATGACTTTGCTATTATGCAATGTGCTGTTTCTATCTGTAACTCAGTATATGTGATATACAGTGGCTGTGTGCAATAGGAACAGTTTGCAAGGCACAATGAGTAATTTTTATTATGTTGCATTAAATGTTTATGCCTAATTTGAGCTGATCAGTTGGAGAGGCCTGGAATACATCTGTAGCATAAAATGAGGGAGGCCTGCACCAATTTCTTTAATGTTGTTTATGTAACTTTTTTTTTTTTTTAACATATCAGCCGATTCCCACCAAGGCAGGGTGGCCCGAAAAAGAAAAACTTTCATCATCATTCACTCCATCACTGTCTTGCCAGTGGGGTGCTTTACACTACAGTTATAAAACTGCAACATTAACACCCCTCCTTCAGAGTGCAGGCACTGTACTTCCCATCTCCAGGACTCAAGTCCGGCCTGCCGGTTTCCCTGAATCCCTTCATAAATGTTACTGTGCTCACACTCCAACAGCACGTCAAGTATTAAAAGCCATTTGTCTCCAGTCACTCCTATCAAATATGCTCACACATGCTTGCTGGAAGTCCAAGCCCTTTGCACACAAAACCTCCTTTACCCCCTTTCCTGGGCCAACCTCTACCCTGCCTTCCCTCCACTACAGATTTATACACTCTCGAAGTCATTCTGTTTTGTTCCATTCTCTCTACATGCCCGAACAACCCCAACAACCCCTACTCAGCCCTCTGGATAATAGTTTTGGTAATCCCACACCTTCTCCTAATTTCCAAACTATGAATTCTCTGCATTATATTCACACCACACATTGCCCTCAGACATGACCTCTCCACTGCCTCCAGCCTTCTCCTCATTGCAACATTCATCACCCATGCTTCACACCCATACAAGAGTGTTGGTACAACTATACTCTCATACATTCCCCACTTTGCTTTCATGGACAAAGTTCTTTGTCTCCACAGACTCCAAAGTGCACCACTTACCCTTTTCCCCTCATCAATTCTACAATTCACCTCATCCTTCTTAGACCCATCTGCTGACACATCCACTTCTAAATATCTGAATACATTCACCTCCTCCATACTCTCTCCCTCCAATCTGATATCCTATCTTTCATCACCTATCTTATCCTCATCACCGTGCTCTTTCTTATATTCACTTTTAATTTTCTTCTTTAACATACCCTACCAAATTCATCCACCAACCTCTGCAACTTCTCTTCAGAATCTCCCAAAAGCACAGTGTCTTCAGCAAAGAGCAACTGTGACAACTCCCACTCTGATTCTTTATCTTTTAACTCCACACCTCTTGCCAAGACCCTTGCATTCACTTCCCTTACAACCCCATCTATAAATATATTGAACAACCATGGTGACATCACACATCCTTATCTAAGGCCTACTTTTACTGGGAAATAATCTCCCTCTCTCCTACATACTCTAACCTGAGCCTCACTATCCTCATAAAAACTCTTCACTGCTTCCAGTAACCTACCTCCTATACCATACACCTGCAACATCTGCCACATTGCCCCCCCCCCCCAATCCACCCTGTCACACGCCTTTTCCAAATCCATAAATGCCACAAAAAACCTCTTTACCCTTATCTAAATACTGTTCACCTATATGTTTCACTGTAAACACTTGGTCTACACACCCCCTACCTTTCCTAAAGCCTCCTTGTTCATCTGCTATCCTACTCTCTGACTTACTCTCAATTCTTTCAAAAATAACTCTACCATACACTTTACCAGGTATACTTAAACAGACTTATTCCCCTATAATTTTTGCACTCTCTCTTTTATCCCCTTTGCATGCTCTCTGCCAATCCCTAGGCACCTTGCCCTCTTCCATACATTTATCAAATAATAGCACCAACCACTCCAAAATTATATCCCCTCCTGCTTTTAACATTTCTATCTTTATCCCATCAATCCCAGCTGCCTTACCCCTTTTCATTCTACCCACTGTCTCACGAACTTCCCCCACACTCACAACTGGCTCTTCCTCACTCCTACAAGATGTTATTCCTCCTTGCCCTATACACGAAATCACAGCTTCCCTATCTTCATTAACATTGAACAATTCCTCAAAATATTCCCTCCATCTTCCTGATACCTCTAACTCTCTATTTAATAACTCACCTCTTCTATTTTTAACTGTCAAATCCATTTGTTCCCTAGGCTTCTTCAACTTATTAATCTCACTCCAAAACTTTTTCTTACTTTCAACAAATTTTGTTGATAACATCTCACCCACTCTCTTAATTGCTCTCTTTTCATATTGATTCACCACTCTCTTAACTTCTCTTTTTCTCTCCATATACTCTTCCCTCCTTCCATCACTTCTACTTTGTAAAAACCTCCCACATGCTAACTTTTTCTCCCTTACTACTTTCTTTACATCATCATTCCACCAATCATTCTTCTTCCCTCCTGCAACCACTTTCCTGTAACCACAGACTTCTGCTGAACACTAACACTACATTCTTAAACCTACCCCATACATCTTAAACCCCCATTGCCTATACATATATGTACTCTCATTAACCCATCTATCCTCCAATAGTTGTTTATATCTTACCCTAACTGCCTCCTCTTTTAGTTTATATACCTTCACCTCTCTCTTACTTGCTGCTAATATTTTCCTTGTATCCCATCTATCTTTTACTCTCACTGTAGTTACAACTAGAAAGTGATCTGATATATTTGTGGCCGTCTATAAACATGTACATCTTGAAGTCTACTCAACAGTCTTATCTACCAATACATAGTCCAACAAACTACTGTCATTACACATTACATCATATCTTGTATACTTATTTATCCTCTTTTTCTTAAAATACATATTACCTATAACTAAACCCCTTTCTATACAAAGGTCAATCAAAGGGCTCCCATTATCATTTACACCTGCACCCCTAACTTACCTACCACACCCTCTCAAAATGTTTCTCCTACTTTAGCATTTAGGTCCCCTACCACAATTACTCTCTCACTTGGTTCAAAGGTTTCTATACATTTGCTTAACATCTCCCAAAATCTCTCCCTCTCCTCTACACTCCTCTCTTCTCCAGGTGCATACATGCTTATTATGACCCACTTTTCACATCCGACCCTTATTTAAATCCACATAATCCTTGAATTTACAATTTTATATTCCCTCTTCTCCTTCCGTAACTGGTCCTTCAACATTATTGCTACTCCTTCCATAGCTCTAACTCTCTCAGATCCTCCTGACTTAATCCCATTTATTTCTCCCCACTGAAACTCACCTAGAAACCCATCAATTACACAACCCAGGGCAACATGGGTTTAGAACAGGCTGCTCCTGTCTGTCTCAACTATTGGATCACTACGACAAGGTCATAGATGCACTAGAAGACAAAAAGAATGCAGATGTAATATATACAGACTTTGCAAAAGCCTTCAACAAGTATGACCATGGCGTAATAGTGCACAAAATGCGTGCTAAAGGAATAACAGGAAAAGTTGGTAGATGGAACTATAATTTCCTCACAAACAGAACACAAAGAGTAGTAGTCAACAGAGTAAAGTCCAAGGCAGCTACGGTGAAAAGCTCTGTTCCACAAGGCACAGTACTCGCTCCCATCTTGTTTCTCATCCTCATATCTGACATAGACAAGGATGTCAGCCACAGCACCATGTCTTCTTTTGCAGATAACACCCGAATCTGCATGACAGTGTCTTCCATTGCAGACACTGCAAGGCTCCAGGCAGACATCAACCAAATCTTTCAATGGGCTGCAGGAAACAATATGAAGTTCAACGATGAGAAATTTCAATTACTCAGATATGGTAAACACGAGGAAATTAAAACTTCATCAGAGTACAAAACAAATTCTGGCCACAAAATAGAGTGAAAACCCAACGTCAAAAACCTGGGAGTGATCATGTCGGAGGATCTCACCTTCAAGGACCATAACATTGTATCAATCGCAGCTGCTAGAAAAATGACAGGATGGATAATGAGAACCTTCAAAACTAGGGATGCCAAGCCCATGATGACACTCTTCAGGTCACTTGTTCTATCTAGGCTGGAATATTGCTGCACACTAACAGCACCTTTCAAGGCAGGTGAAATTGCTGACCTAGAAAATGTACAGAGAACCTTCACGGCAAGCATAACCGAGATAAAACACCTCAATTACTGGGAGCGCTTGAAGTTCCTGAACCTGTATTCCCTGGAATGCAGGCGGGAGAGATACATGATTATATACATCTGGAAAATCCTAGAGGGACTAGTAATGAACTTGTACACGAAAATCACTCCCAACGACAGCAAAAGACTTGGCAGACGATGCAACATCCCCCCAATGAAAAGCAGGGGTGTCACTAGCACGTTAAGAGACAATACAATAAGTGTCAGGGGCCCGAGACTGTTCAACTGCCTCCCAGCATACATAAGGGGGATTACCAATAGACCCCTGGCAGTCTTCAAGCTGGCGCTGGACAAGCATCTAAAGTCGGTACCTGACCAGCCAGGCTGTGGCTTGTACGTTGGTTTGCGTGCAGCCAGCAGTAACAGCCTGGTTGATCAGGCTCTGATCCACCAGGAGGCCTGGTCACAGACCGGGCCGCGGGGGCGTTGACCCCCGGAACTCTCTCCAGGTAAACTCCAGGTACCCCCTTCAGCTTTGTAACGCTTAGGGATAGGACATCCAACTTCTTTTCATTCAAAACATCAGCAATCATCTCTTTCTTATCATCCGCACTACATCGATGCACATTCAAGCATCCCAGTTTTATAAAGTTTTTCTTCTTCTCAGTGTTAGTAAATGTGTACAGGAGAAGGGGTTACTAGCCCAATGC